ACAAAACATCAACCGGACATTAAAAAAATATTTGCCACTGGATGTTAAGCAACCACCAATCGATCACTTAAATTTTATGTTTAAATCAATATATCTGTTTTTTTTCATATCCAGCTTGATATAAACCTATATAAAAGGATAAAGATGTGTTTTTGTTTTTGTTTAGTATTTGTGTTAATATATATGACATAACTATTCATAAAGAAGGGGACACTAGCTTTGCAAAGAAGGACATATACACAAGTTATCAATCTTAAAGAGATAAGACATGTTAAATAGTAATTAACTAATATGTTGGAAAGATAACTGGAATAATTAATCCAAGGATATGTTAGATTATACGTCACTAAAACGCCAACCTGACAATAATAAAATGTCAATATAAAAGGATTTAACGAAAGAAAAAAAAAAACGATAATTGATTTGACAAGAAGCAAAAGGAGTGTTAAGAATCACAAAAATGAAACATAACAAATCAGACATTACTAGCATACAAAAAAGGCACAATTCAATACTAAAACATTAAACTAGAACAACACGAAGTCAGTGAAACAATTGAACGCACGGACTAATCGATGGTTTATACTCTACTGGTGTCATCAGTCGATTTGTTTATGATAGGCAAAATATAGTGACAAATTATTAACAACATTATTAAATGTTATACCTAGCTAAAGACACAGCTTGTATGGCAGTTGTTTATAAAAGTAGTTGTGATTACATCGTTCAACAATCAAAACAATAGACAATTGAAAACAAACTGAAAGTGAAAGCTATGTTTTTTATAAAATTGCTTCCAATATAGTAATATTATCGCATTCTGTTACATATGTAGTAACACGCATAATGCCACGTAGCCAATAATGAAACAGATTTGTGAAGAAAAAAGGGACTCATCGATAAAAAAAATGTGAGACACTCATCCACCTGCAGCGCAAAAGGCAGTCATCATTGTGTTCCAAAATCATAAAATAAGGTGTACAAAGAATTATCACAACTAATAAGGTGATAAAGCTTTGACAATAATAGTTGTAATAAAAAAATACTAGATAGAGATTGCCTTTATTACGACATGTTGTAAAGTTATAATTGTTATATGAAAAGGTGCCTGGGATAGTTACGCAATTGATTATAAGTAACAGTTACTTATTGTTTATCGAGTACAACTAGTCTTCTTATTAATACCCAAAATCAGGAATGTACACACGTGTGGTTATGTCCTGATGTGACATGCACAGGTACAAATTTGCCAACTAATAGCCCCTTGTTTTCTTTCTTTTGTTTTTTCAGGTTAATTTGTATCGTCCGTAGTATGTTCTGATAGTAACGGGCTTACTGCCAAGAAGTCAATAATGACACAGATTTGAGAAGAGAAAGGGACTACTTGATGAAAAACATACTGCTGGTAGATGAGTGTCTCATAATTTAGTTGTGACTCAGCAGTATAACAGGCGGTCATTCTCGTTGTCTAAAATCGTAAAATCAATAAGGTGTACATAGAATTGAAACAACTTATAAAGTAGCATCTTTACTGCAGAAGTTAAGGCGATAATTCTGGCCTTGCAGTTTATTGCTACTTTTGAAAAAAATAAGGTTTATTATACATGTTATATGTTCTGATTCGCTATCATGTCTTCATGCAATACAACATACCAAAATTAAAAACCTGTTAATTTTAAAAATCCTTTTCGTGATGAGAAATTTGAGAAATAAAGAAGTTATATTTCTATGGATGCCAAGTCATACCGGCATTCACGGAAACACAGTTGTAGATCAGGTAGCAAAGAATTATCTGACCGACCCTATATCTAAATGTGAAATACCATATAATGATTTTGAATCTAATAAAAGAGAATATGTTTTAGATTGATGGAAACACGCTTGGAGTAAAAGGAACGACAATAAATTGCATGAAATTAAACCAACTTTATGAAAACCTTTAAACAAATTTATAAGCAGGAAAGATCAGTGTGTTATTTCTAGATGCCCTATTGGTCATGCTAGAAATACACACGAATATCTTTTAAAAAATGAAATTCAACCAGTATGTATACCTTGCGATTGCAAGTATTCTATTAAAAACCAATTGTTCAGAGAACAATTGAAGGTCTTTTCACATAAAATTTCTAAATAATTGACAAGAAGCTACTTTCAGTTTACTCAGAGTTACTATTGATGTCCAATCATAAGTTTCTTCATACTGATTAAAACAATATGGTTTCTATATACATATGTCTGAAATAAGAGAGATAATTTGCTACTTCTGGTTTAGAAAATGTCACTATCGGTCTCATATGATAGCTTTAGTCACACTGATTCCAAAAATATATGGTTTATATACTTTTGCTTGACATAAGGATGATACATTGCAACTTCCAGTTTAACAAAAAAATTCACTTCTTGTACCATATGATAGGTTACCACACACTGATTCCAAAATTATATGGTTCGAGGTAATTTTAAATGAAACCAGTGCAGGAATTGGCTACTTTCGGTAAACAAAAGGTCACTTCCGACTTACCTTTTCAAATATCTACCAGCCTAATGCATAAGACCCAATAGCTTTATCTTGTAAAATATAAAAATGTATTGCAAAGGTCAAAATCTAGAACGTCATATTTACCCTTGACCCTGAACTAAATTTCAAGATCATAAAGCTAGGACCTCAAATCAAAAGACCCTAGGTCTCTACTATATATGGTTAATGATTTGTATCACAGCTAATTTTAAATATAAGAGGGGAGAAAACTCCTATTAAATGTCAACGTACCCTTTCAACCAGAATTTATGTGTTGCAACATGTCGCAAAAACAATTTCGTCAAATATAATGTCGATATCTTATACGGTTTCTGAGGAAAAGCCAAAAAAAGCCATAATCAAAATTTAGAACATGACCTTGACATTCAACCTTGACCTCAGTTTCATTTTGGTGGATCCTGGACCTCAAATCAAAATACCCTAGGTGTCTGTCACTTATGGTTTACCAGTTACAAATACTTTTCAATTATACCAAATATATAAGGGAACATTACTCTCGTATGGACTCTCTGGATTGCTTCGGTAAACATTGATTTTGACAACCTGAAGATGTAACGTGCAATTTGGTCAAATAATTTTGTCGGTTTCTTTTACGGTTACGAGTAGCAATAACAAGAACAACCATGTTCGGGGAGACAACTCTTACAAGGGAAAGTGCTCATTTAAACGGTGTCTGTTTCAAAAGCGTAAAAACTGTTCGATATCATATAAAAAATATCTAAGCGACATCTTGCAGAATAAAATCTTCTCGCAAGAAATAAAAGTGGCGGAAGAAAAAACAAATAATAATAATCAGAACAAAATCAATAGGTCTTTCCACGGAACATTAAACATATTTTGATCGAATGTATTGACCGATATTCGAAAAAAAACATTGTAATGTAAATAATTTAAATAATATGTATGATTTATTTGATAATATTCCTGTTGAAATAATTGTTTCGTTTTGAAAAGAAATTGGAATATATTCCAATTTGTTGTATTAGTTTAAAACGATTGTAAGTTTTTATCAGGTTATCTTATGGATGAAATTTGATTTTTGAATAAGTAATTTCGCTTTAAACTAAAGTTTTTGTAAATTGAAAGACCTTTTGTCTGATTAAAAAAAAAACGTCTTGTTATAATATTTAAAAAAGCTCTCGACGCGATATACCTTGTTTGTGCTGATGCGGCGTAAGGTAATCAACCATAAATCAATAAAGTAGCAAAACATGGACAATGATAATTGTCTTTAAAATACAACTAGTTGCAGATTTCTTTTTTGAGTTGTTATACAAATATTGTCCTTATATGAAAATGATTGAAGTGTCCGGTAAAGTCTCACTATCGAGGGTGAGTTACATTAATTAGCATTGATCAAGTACAACAAGCCTTCTTATGAATACCCAATATCGAATAATGTACACCCGCATAGTAATGTCTTGATGTGACAAGCATATGTACAAATTGGCCAACTTATACATGATGGAAATGTTTACTCCTCCGTAGCACATGAGTTTACAACTAGGTTATCTTTTATCGATGTATTGTCTTTATAACAACTTGGTTTCTTACATTAGTTTTGTTCGGATATCGTCAGTAGTCTCTTTTGATTGACTCTTTGTGGGGATATTTGTTCAGTCTCTCTGTTTTTTTTCCTTCTATTTCTTACGCCAGTAATAATCTTGTTTTCGGTATAAAAAAAAAAATGTTTTTTAAATTTTCATTTTTGACAGTATTTTGGGAATGGAGTTTTCACGTTCAGCAGATTTTTCTCTCATAAATCAAGGAAAAATTCAAGATTACTCTTGGCACCATTATCATTTTTATACTGTTTGATGCTTCATCTTGTATAACTTACTAAATTATAAACCATTTACATATGAAGTTGTTTTTATCATCTGATTATGATATGAATGATTAAAAATAATAATAATATATTTATTTTAATTTTGAAAATTCGTAGATGTAAGAAATGAATGCTGTGTCACTAAGTCAAAATGTAACAATGTGACATAATTAGACGATTATAATTTCATCAGAAGAACTAAGACCGCGAAAACATGTCGCTAGTGAGTTGATACACATACATACCATATTGGTCAATACAGTCTTAAAATGTATGTAGTATATACCTCTATTCGAGCAAGTTTTCAGTAAGGAGCAAACCCGTATTAATGAAGTGTTTAAAGTGTGAACATGGAAGAGCTTCAAGTGTTTACTAAGATATTAAACACCATACGATGGAGCAGATGGTGTGTTAGTTCTAAGAAATTATGGGTAACATTGTGCATTTACTTTTTATCTGATATCCGAACAACTGGTGCATGTGTTTGATTGGTCAATAAGTGTCTTCTCCGTGTTTAGTACAAGGCCAATAACGTGTCTGGATCTGCGTCGCTGCATACAATTATTTTAAATGACATTGTGACGGCCAGAAATCACCTTTAACTTGTAGCCAACAAAAGACAAAAATCAATAATAAAATTTGACAAGATTAATTATACACAAGTTTACAAGAAATATTATACAAATTGAAATGTTAACTTAACTGTTAAATTATATGTTCGATCCTGTGTCTTTTCTTTATTCGGAATTCTTCTATTAACTGTACGAAATATGTCCAATCTAGTAAGATGTAGTTAACGTAAATAAAGTGTCAATCCAACAACTCCAGAGAACTTCTATGAATCCAAGTAAATTAATGTCTAAAAAAGTCTAATTTCGGTATCTGTTGTCAAGGAAACTTCTCAAACACTGTAGAAGGGAAACTCCTAAAAAATTGTAGAACGAAAACTTCTAGAATACGGTAGAAGTTTAAATAACACATCGTATATTATAATCATTCCAGAATTATTATGTCAGTCAAATAGAAAGTTATAATCATTCCATCAGTATCTATGATTGTTACAGTGATTTCTAAACTGCACAATTATAACATTATTATGTACAAAAACTATAAATATGATGTAAGCATATTATACATCATTGTCAAGGAAACTTCTAAAACACTGTAGAATGGAAACTCCGAGAAAATTGTAGAACGAAAACTTCTAGAATACGGTAGAAGTTTAAATTACACATCGTATATAATAATCATTCCAGAATTATTATGTCAGTCAAATAGAAAGTTCTAATCATTCCATCAGTATCTATGATTGTTACAGTGATTTCTAAACTCCACAATTATAACATTATTTTGTACAAAAACTATAAATATGATGTAAGCATATTATACATTATAAGGCCACACAAAACAAATTAGGCCAAGATAAATAAACATGATAATAACAATATCATAACAACACTGAAACATAACTAATCATTCCTTTCAATCAAGCCAAGTAAACTTTTACGAACATTTTCCTTGTACAGTCAGAGTTGTAATATTTTGAACTTTTGGCACACAGAAAGTCGCCACAACTCAACATTATCAATCTGCACATTAAATATGAAATAATTCCCTTTCAACGATAAAAGTAAAGACTATTCCGACAGTTTAGAATACTTTTCAATACGTTAAGTTCTATAATAACATTATTTGTAGGAAAACTAGCAAAGTGAAATCAATTTGAATGAGTAACGGACATTAGGATATAAATTGTAGTAATATAACACTTGATTGGTAAGAATTGTAGCTTATTATTTTGAATTTGATATAAAACTCAGTCACGAGAGAGCATTTAATAATTATCTGACATAAGAAAATATCAAAGTATGAATGATCCGTGTGATGCAACACGTACGACATAATTCTTTTGTGGTTAAACCAGATTTTAGGAAAACAATTGTAAAGTTTCTATTTTGATGTAATAGAATCATATATAGTATAACCATTAAACGTGCATGCAAATAAAACAAGTACACATTATATTCAGATTGTTTAATATTGTTTTTGCATCGGAAGGAAGTGTTTCCATCATGTCTGTGTTTCGCTAATGTTTATTACTGGCTGTCACTTTTGTCTTATGTAATTCATCCATCTGAAGAAATAAATACAATGGTTGTGTTTGTTTAACTTAGAATTATACAAGTGATGTTATAAATTTGTGCTATCTGCTTCCTTGGTGCAATTTGTTTATCCTTCTTAAAACGCATTGAAAATTAACACTTAGTTCGTCAACGATGTAAGTGAAGGTTTGTTTAAATGTTCGCAGTTTTGTTGTCCACAACATTAACTTCTATATTTTTAGTTTTTAGATAACAAACTAGTCTATCGCTGTGTTGAAGACCCATTGGTGGCCTTGGGTTGTTTTCTGCTCTTTGGTCGGGTTGTTGTCTCTTTGACAAATTCCCCATTTCCATTCTCAATTTTATAATATACTGAACAACTCGTTAAGGACTGTTATTAGTATTTGGGCACGATTTGACCCAATAAATAGTGTGGACTGATGTTGTTTACGTTCAGTTTTAAGGAACAACAGTCATACAAGTCTTGTTAACATTTCAACAAGAACATTATCTCCCCTTTTTAAATATACTATTATTCCTCTATCAACAAACAGTACATGCTAGATCTGTATTTTGATAAATATATATAGTCACTTTAATTGTTGAAATTATCTGTATATGATGAGTATGTATCCGGTCAATAAGAGTACCAATATTTTCAAATGGAACCGATTTTATGTCAGAGACGACCATACCACTTAACTAAACGAATAGTGTCCTTCATAAGAAGCAACTTACAAACATAAATTACGTTATCTCTTTACAAAAACAAGTTTAAAAGATACTACTGCAGAAAAATGTCATGTTTTGCATATCCTTATCGATCAGTTAGTAACTAGATGTATTGTACTTTTTCATGTAAATTTTAAGTATGAAACAAATTAATTGAAAAAAAACATGTTATACTAAGTGTATAGCTATCAGTGATACAATTTTGTATAATCATTATATGTACTTTTTTTGATGACTAATGCATATAATGTACATCCGCGCCATCAAAGAAAAATATAAATCGTAAGCTTTATCTTCAATACTTACTCTCCACAGGCACAGCTACAATGAGAACATATTATATTATTGTCGGACTTTTGTCAAAATGTATTAACCTATCGGACCTAACAGTGTAAGTTCTATAGTTTGAAATGGTTCACATATTGTCATTTTGGAATCTTTAATATACGGTATTTGTGGAAAAGCCGGTAATGTGACTTATTGTAACTACCATCAACATAATTTACTCTATGTTGGGTAGCTGTCTCATTGTCAATTCTACCACATGTTGTAATGTTTATCCTATAGGCTAATAGATTAATGACTGAACACATAATTTATCAAATGAAAATATTTCATTTTGTTTGATTGTTTTATAAGCAAAGAAACTGTTATTTATGCATCTTGATAACAATTTTCAAATATTGCAACTATCACCTTTTTCTACTTTTATAAGAAGATTGCCATTTGTCATATGATGCCTATGAAAACAAATGCTCGAAGTTTTTAGTTTTAGTTTTCGATTTGGTACTTGATAGTTACCAATGTAAGTTGAATAATGCATATATTTGAAATAGTAATGGTATGATATATATATATATATTAAATAACACAAAGGACAACACATGTTTTTTTTTTTGTAACTCTAGAACTTTTTTTTTTAAACAGATGTCATACATTTATTATTAATGGGAAACAACTTTAAATGACAACGATTAATAAAAAAAACATGAATTCTGGTTTACAGCATATCGGGAATTAATACATTGATTGGACATGTAGATATATAACATGAAAGGAATAATGAGAAAGAAGACACAAGATAAAAAAATATTATTACAATTTAGACATAGTGTCACCTTTCTTAATAAATACGGACATACTTAACATACACTATTCATTTACCAACTGCGAAAAAAAAAAGCAAGTAAATGATCATGCAATACAGCATATCATCTAGCAAAGAGTTATAGAAGCCACCGTAGTATAAGTAGTAAAGTGATAGTAGAACTGACAGCTTTTTGTTGAATGTTATAGTCAGTAATCATGTCAAAATTTAAAATTTTGTGTTTGTAACATTTTATAATAACAAACATATAATGTTTTCTGAAGCACTGGTTTTACTTCAGTCTTCTATTGACTGTTTTGTCTTACTGTCATAATAAATAACAAATACAACTGAAAAACATGTTTGTTTTTTTATCAATCAAAAAATATAAAACTTCCATATGTGAGTGATAATAAGTGAACTGTTCATATCAAAGGTTATAAAACTTTCAAATATTGTCCGTTTACAGATACATGTACAACATCATGAACCTGATCTCTTTAATAAGTTTCTATACTGTTTTATGGAATACTCCGTTACTACTGGCAGTATATTTTTCAGGTTATTAAGTCGTGATGATTTACCTACACAACGTTTAAATCAATTTTGAAGCATTTTGTCTATATAAAATTATCAATCTTTTTGTTTCAATATATTATTCGTTGGGTTAAACATATTTATAACATTTAGATTTGTAAAAATAACAAATATTACATTGAACATATTCACGAAAGTATTTAATACTTGAAAGATTTTTTTTGTATAATACTAGAGAACAAACAGGGTGTTGTTAAAGATATTTATAAACAACAATGCGAATTGTGTTGTCTATTTGTTCACGTTTGAATTTAGACTACTTCGCATTTCGATTAAAATCAGACTAATAAAAAAATCGCATTTTTCTAATATACGAATGGGTTTTGTTATTTCTATATAATTGCGTCTTTATTGATTAGAACTGTTTTTTTATTGTTCAATTTCAATAAAAACACCATACACAACATTCACTATCTATTGTTCTTTCATTCTTAATTTTTTGTAAAATAATCGCTATATACTTATCTGTTATGGTATATAACACTTACATTGTCCTGAAAAATAAAAAAAAAATACAAGTTTAAAATCTGAAGAATAATTTAAGACAATCACAATACAGGAAATACTCATCTCAAAACACCAGTTTATAAATTTTACTGAATATGTTCAGCGTATTGTTTTGAAGTGTTTGGTTTTCTTAACTAGAAACTGTGTTTTCTTGAATGTGGTAGCTATTCAAACGAAGTATAGATATAAAAAATGACAAACCAAGTGGTGAACACGAATACCTATATCTCAAAAATAGTTTTAAAGTCATTATCTTCTCTTTTAGAGTTTATAAAAATCACAATAGCATCAATTTTGTCTATAGTTGTTTTGTATCTATGGTGTCCAGTAGTAAATTATATAGCAATCATATTAGAACAAAAAATCGAAATGTATATTATAAAAATACTAGCATATTGATAATGTGGTGTTCTTTTGCTGATCGTCTATTGATGAGTAGCTACTGCATAGTCAGGAGTATATACATGGTATGTAGCACAACATTCTATTTTTTGAAAAGCAATTAAATGATAGGTATAATAAAAAAGAATAAACAAGACTTAATATAAAGTCACAATTTGGACATCGGTTAACTACTGTCTCCTTACTATAAAAATAAAGACATACCAAGATGTGACACTAGGAACAATTTTGATATTTTCACGTAATTAGCATATCCAGTGGCTGCATAAATAATCACATGATTCAAGCTTTATAAACTATTAATCGCCTGTCATAGTCAAGTCATATTATTTCATAATGTATTCTCATATTTCAATCAATACTTGACAACAATAATTTAAAAATACAATTTCTTATACTCTTTCCAAAAGTGTTGTTTTAAAGAAAAGCAGATAATAGTGTTTTACCAACCCATTTTTAAATACTTTTTTCGACTATTTCTCTCTTAAAATGGTATGTTTATTGTTTTACTTTACTACACTACGTTCACCATTATATAAATATTGTTATATTATAAATTGCTTATATAATTGTACGCTATACTTATCTGTTTGCTATTTGACACTTACCGGCTGAAAAATTCAAATAAATATTCATAGAATACAGCATACCATTTAGCAATGAATTATTACAACGAAAATGGAATTAATTGAATTTGTACTAAAGTGATAGTAGAACATTTCGAGATGACAGCTTGGTCTGTCAGATTATTCAATAGTGAAGTCATTATTCATGCCAAATATTGAAATGTGATATTTGTATGATTTTAAAGTGTCGCTTTATAAATTTAGAAATTATAACGAAACTTAGGTTTTAACACCTCAAGTAATGTTGACGTTAAGTTGATATAATTATTTTCGTGTATGTTCTCTATGGTCATATACTTATACGTCCTTTGATTTAAACATTTCTGCTTTGAGCGTGTCCCGTTAAGGTAAATTTAGAAAACAGAACGTGAAATCAATCCCGGTTTTTTTGTTTTTTGTATACTGTTGTTTGTCGTTTTGTCTGTTGAGGGTCATGTCATGGCGTTGTCAGTTTATGTTCGACTTATTAGTTTGAATGCCTGTTTGGTATTTCCACCTCTTTTGTAGACGGAACGCTCATCTATCACGCATCATTTTCATGGTTTTTTTATTGCTTTATTTTGCTATTCTACTAACACCATTGTATAACTATCGTTATATTATGAATTGCATAGATAATTGTACGTTATACTTATCTGTTTGCTACTCGACACTTACCCGCTGAAAAATTCAAATAAATATTCATAGAATACAGCATACCATTAAGCATTGAATTATAGAAACGACAATGAAGTTAATTGAATTAGTAGTAAAGTGGACATGTTAAGATGACAGCTTGTTCTTTCAGATTATTGAATTAGTATTGTTATTGATCATGCCAAATATTGAAATGTGATATTTGTAGGATTTCAAAGTGTTGCTTAATAGATTTAGAAATCATTAAAAACTTAGGTTTCAACACATACAATTCAAGTTAACCTTAGGTTGATTTAACCAGTTTTGTTGATAAAAAGATAAGGAGATGTGGTATGATTGCCAATGAGACAGCTATCCACCAAAGTTCAAATGAAGTGAATGTAAGCAATAATAGGCAACCGTACAGCCTTCAACAATGAGAAAAACCCATAGAGTATGGTCGGCTATAAAAGGGCCCGACATGAATAATATGAAACAATTCAATTGATAAAACTAACTGCTAATTTATAACAAAACAATTTACGAAAAAACAAATATAACAGACACGAACCAACGACAACTACTGAACTACAGGTTCTCTGTGGTCACATACTTCAACTGTTTCGGTTATCATAAATCCTTGGCTTTAAACATTTCTGGTTTGAACGCTTTCCATGAAGGCAAATCATCAACAAACAGTACATAAAATCACATTCGGTTTTGTGTGTTTTGTATACTGTTTGGTGTCTTTTTGTCAGTTTAGGTTTTAGCCATGGCATTGTCAGTTTATTTTCTACCTTTGAGTTTGACTGTCTCTTTGGTATCTTCCGCCTCTTTTGTAGACGAAAGGCGCGTTTGGCATACATATTTTTTATCCTGGTATATTTTTTATATTGTTTTATAGTATAATATATTACTACTGGCAGTGCATGTTTAATTCTATGAAAAGAATGAATCAATTCGGAAGCATTTGGTCCATACAAATTTAACGATTTTGTTTTCTAACTACATTATTCATTTAATTTTGGACACCAAATAAGTTTCGGTTTGTTAAAAAAAATAAAATACATTGAATGTTTTATGATCGAATTTATAACTTTTTAATTATGCGTGTTATAGAAGAGAGAAACAGGTTGATGTCAAACATCTTTGAAAAAACCCATTTGAATTTTTCAGTTGTTTCCGTTTGAATTTAAATTACCTAGATCTTTTAAAGGATAATACTGATACCTAATTGACCAATATTTTAGGTTATTTTGACTCATCTTATTCCATCACTTTATCATCTCGTTGGGTACGGTATTAGGAAACCATCTTGTCATAAAGAACGAATGTGGTGAACAACATTCGATTACGTTCTAGTTGATAAACAAACATAACAAAAAATGCAAAATGCTAGAAATGTGACATTCATTATCAAAGGTGAAGAGCCTCATGCAAAACACATGTATTAAAGATACAATGCGCATACTTGTGAACCCCCAGCTGAGTGTTTCTTCTTAAAAAAAATTGACGCTCGAATAAAATA